GGAAGATAGAGCACCGTGTCACACTGCTAGAAACACCCAAAAGTAGGCAGGAAGAAAATGGTATCCAGAAGTTGCCCTGGCCGAGCCAATCTCCTGTCATGAATCCCATCGAAAACCTCTGGGCCATACTCGACCGGCAAGTCAAGAAACAACCACAAAAACCAACTTCGAAGAGCGATCTACTCCAAGTTTTGCAGCAAGAGTGGGCGAAAATCCCACAATCTAAATTTGACGAGATGATTTTCACGGTGCCCTTAAAAGATCAACGAACTCCACAAAGGAAGTCCTACTAGATATTAATTAAATTATAAATATATCAATTCATGTGAATATGACTGAAAAGTTTCATTTTTTCTGAAAAAATGGTGTCTATTTACTTGTGACTACTCTGTGTACAATATCTTTTTCTCTAGATTTTAAAACAAGTAGCTTTTGGGAGTTCAAAAGCATAAAATGTTTAAGCCATCTGCTCAAAATGGAATTATAGAAGACAACCCTCATGTTTTCAAAGATGCTAATACGAGTCTCATATAAAACAGGTTTTAAGTTTTCTCGAAGAATATTTGTTGCTAGTTATAATAATCTCCAACACTCATATTGTTTAAGATTTTTTCCAAAATACATTGTTGAGATTATTTTTTGTAGTTTTCTGATCTATTATTGGTCACAAGCAGAAAACAAAGTGTTCAACAATTCTTATCATTACTTTGACTTTTGAACTGAAACACATTTGTAATGTGTTGTATTTGTAGGCGATCTGTTCGTGGTTTTATTCGATCTCAGTACTGGGACAGGCATTCTCCAAGTCTCTGCTCATCTGGTAATGATATCGGAGCTACAGGTGAGTTTACTGCAGATTCATTACCTCTAAGAATATATGACAGACGAGCAGTACAAGGCTGGGCTCTCTCACAGGACGTAACCTTCTTATCACCATCTTGGCCTCAGACTAATTTTAAGTAAAAATGACTCCGTCTACACTAAACATGTGTTTTCACCGCTATGAAGTATGATACATGCTTTGTAACGTGTTCTTGAATATTTTAAACGTAGTTAAAGCGGTGACGGACAATCCTTGCATAGTGTGATTATTGTGAACTTTATCTTACTACTCCAGCTGTTTACTCTAAAATATTGGTGCTGTTGATTTCACGAAGAAGTTAGAAACCGTCAAGTATTACATATATTTAAAAGTGTTTATCAGCTATTTCCCGAAAAGTCTATATAATGCTGTTTCTTCCCTACTTGTAACAGGATAATTGAAATTGCTAGCAATAGTATACCCAGAAAGGCTTTGGATAGTTCAGGGAAAATCTAAGGCCTAATGTGTAAGTGTATTTATCTTATCTCTTTTACAAATCATGAGATTGTACAGGTTTCGTGACTTAAGAGTCACTCGTCAGTAATATACGAAATTCTACTGTATGTTTTAAACTATTCATGTTGTGTCAGTATGAAAAAGAAAGAGCTAAAATCTAGGTTAAGTAGAATTGCCTGACGTATACACGTATAGACAGAGACATCTATCCTCAATGAGTTTAAACCACTTTGGCAAATTGCAACAAAATAGTTTTAATGCAATGAAAATATATATATAATCTGGAATAAATGCTTTTGTAGTCATAAAACCTAAACGTAATCTATTATGTTATTCAAGTGAAGTTTTCTTTTTTTGATTCTCTATAAACACAATATAGATGATATAATATAAGACTTTTATTTGCATATGAGAAACCAAATCTCAGCCAGTAACAAGCAATGACGTTTATCTGAGGATAGGTTATGTTATACATATTTTATTTGGAATGTTACATGTTGCAATAAGTGATGATGAAACGAAAACTATGAACTTTTTCTTTTTAGCTTAGTAAACAGTTTTTGAATTTACCATAGTGTGTTTAGTTCAATAACTTCAGGAAATGTTGATTAACTTTTCGTTAGCGATGATTTTTCTTTCAAGGCTCGATGATGATAAATACTTTGTTCTCTGTGCCAGTTAGACTTTTTTCTAACTATGATACACACTTAAGTGGTAATGTGTCACATTGTAAGATCATATAAATAACGTATATATATACATTTAAAAGTGTGTAAGTTTGTATAAACATACATAATATAATTTTTTTTCAGAATGACCAAACATATTTGTATTTTAAAATTGGTTTATCTCTGCAGCATTTTAAAGATACTAAAATGTATGCCTATAATTAACGTGTTTAACAACTCGACTTAGAAAAGTATTAAGCTGGATTCAAACCAATGATTTCTGGTAGAATAGGCATTGAGAAATTTAATTTATTTTATTCGAGTAAACATGTTTCTATAAACAGATTTTCATGAATAATATGAACAAGAAAGCTATTTGTAACAAATAAAAAAGAAAGCAACAAGAACTTTTAGTTTCATTATTATGACAGCTAGGACAATAAAACTCTGTAATTCCTTTCGTTTATTTTTATAGATAACATAAACTTCCAAGTGATTTTTTTACTCAACTATTTGTTGTCAATAAGAAGTCCTAATGCGAAATATTAATATAGCTATTCACATATATAGGAAAATGGTTTTTATATTTGTTTGTTTGTTGTTAAGCGCAAAGCTACACAATGGGCTATCTGTGATACGCCCAACACGAGGATTGATATCTGATTTTTAGCGTTAGAAGTCTTCAGACTTATCGCTAAGCTACTGGGGACTGATTTTTATAAAAAAAAATTATTTTGAAAATAATGTCAGATAACAAACTATATGGGACGTGTCCTGTTGCCGCAAAAATGTAGTAATCAAGCTCCGCTCCTTGAGACCTTGGAGAGTTATGAGTTACTGTCAAATTCCACTATTCGATTAAAGTAGTCCAAGAGTTAACGGTATATGCTTCTTGTGGCTGCCTTCTCTCTAATTTATCAGTTCAAAATTAGGGACGGCTAATGCAGATAGTCCTTGTGTAGCTTTGTGCAAATATTCGAAGCAAACTAAACCTATATAAATATCTTACAGGATATTCAATTTGATGAAGAATGAAGCAATACAACAGCACCTGTAACTGTATTTTGTGATATGTGTTTGATAAGAATGGTTTCGTAGGTTTAACTTAAAAAACAACAACTCTAAGGGCTTCTAAAAGTCAAATAATTCAAATATAGTTCGATAGGTAGCGCCACCTATAAGCGATGCGTTTATTGTTGTTCCGAAGTAGCAAGAAAACATAATCCGTCGTTTTAAATCTAATGCTTTGATATGCTTGCTATATTTCTGTTTCATAATTTAAAATTTGTATTGTTAATTTATTATTTTATTTTATAATATATGTGGTGTTATATTATACTATATGTATTATTATATACAGACATAATTATATGTAAATTCAATTTTTATTACCTTTTAAAAGAATCATTTACAGTAGAATAGGAACCTGCAAATTCGAATCACAAACGACTAATGTAGGGTTTCTGCATAAATTGATATTGTATACTAATGGATTTTGTGTAAAAATAAAATAACGTACGTGTTCTTATTGTGTTTTGTCGTTTTATTTACCAGTAGTTGTATTGTCCATGGAGCAGTGTTTAAGATATGTGGGACACGTTTTTTCTTCCATAATTTTTTTGTTGTTGTCTTACTTCTTATTTAGGCAGCTTCTTACTTCCCTTATATGACTGTTTTATCAACTGCGTCCAACACGAGAAGCTAATGAAACACTATTTTCGAAGTGAGGAAAAAAAAAAACTGGAGCAAGACCATAAACATTCCGTACTAACAGAGTATTTTACCAATAATACAGATAATAAAAGGTTAAATTAATAAGGTAATGTTGGTGGCACAGCTGAAAAAAAAATTAATAGAATAAAATTTCTATCGAGTTGCTTAACGTAGTACGCGCTCATCTCGGGTTTCAGCTATATAAGCCTTCAGACTTACCACTGTACAAGATATGATTTTATTGTTAACACTTTTCGAACTACTGAAACTTTAGAGCCTTTCTAACATATCACTTCCAATAGTAATTCAAATATTAATCTCATTTCCATCATAATTATGCTGTTTTAAATGAAAGATTTCACACAAATTATCTTTATTATTATCGGCAAGAAAAGCGATTTCACTTTTTTATAATGAACTATAAAAAATCGGTAATTTCATCCTTAATATTTTATGTTTCGCTCTTTTGTTCGAAATTAATTTTTTTTACCAACGCATATAAAACTTGCAACTAAAATGATAAAATATAGCGCAATTTTATGATTTTTGATGATACAAAGTTTCAGAGTACAAAGTAGGACCTAGAAATTTCAGTCCTCATCTACTGACCCTTTCAGCTGATAAATGTGTAAGGTAAAATAGAATCCTAAACATATTTTTTAGGCAAATTATGTTGTTAGCTAGGCAGATAATCTTTGTTTTATATTGTTGTTGCTTTTTGTGTTTTTACAAATTTCAAACATATATGCTATCATCCTCATCATCAATATATATAAAAGCCAAGTGTTAGTAGGTCACGCTCGATTTCTTCAAATTCTGTGAGTTACACGAGTCCAATTTCACTTTTTATCTTCTTCTTTTGATTACCCATACACATTTTAGTTGAATTTAATTGCTAACATAGGCGTAAATAGCTCCTAAATGTCGGCCCTTTTTCTGCTATATAAAAGCTTGTCAAGGAGGGAGTTCCCAGGACCACATCATACGTGCTGTTATGTGTGTGGTACCACATCATTATAACGTCAGGCTACGTAGGATCCAAATAGGAAAGCCCAGAGGACTCCCGGAATCGAAGACACGGAAGTGCATTCGCACCCTGTCAACGCCTGTAAAAAAATAAATCATATAATAGCGCAAATTTATGCTTGGGAATTATGACGAAAAAGCCTTTGTAAAAATAGACTGAAAAAACCAATTATCTGTAGGGAAGAGGACAACTTTTCTTAAGAAGAAGAACAGGTTTGTATGCTATCATATGGTTATGGTATGTTTTAATCTTTTATAAAAAGGCACCAATATGTAGCATATTTCTCAGTTATATGTAGTGGATTGAGGAGCAATATGTAGCATGTTTGCTGTGTTATATGTCGTAGATTTAGGAGCAATATATAGCATGTTTGCTCAGTTATATGTAGTAGATTGTGGAGCAAAATGTAGCATGTTTCCGGGAGAGGAAGCTTTATATTTCTTTTATTTATTTATTTTGTGTATTGCCAGTTTTATATGGAATACTTTGTTTTCCAGTGGTTTCCCATCATTTTTGATATGCTTTTACGCTAGTTATAATAACAAAAAGTGAGATCGTTTTGTGTTGTTAGGTTGTTTTTTTTCAAAGGAGAAAGTTTGTCCAGGGATGTTCCTGGATGAAACAGAATAAATACTTCGAGAGCCAGTGCACATTAATCTTGTGTAACTGTTTCATATTGGCGTTATATCAATTAACGTTGAGAGAAAAGGCTGTATGTGATTGATGCTTTTTCTTGTTTTTCTTTCTTGTTGAAAGATAGCGCCAGTAGAAGCTTGACTTTGAATCTACTCTATGAAAATGGTAACAACAACAACAAATTGTAAGAAATCCAAACTTTAATCTAAAACAATTAGATGTAGTGTGTTTCCGGATGTATTATTCTTTCCCATTACCTGATGTTATCTATACTCTTATATATTGTTTTCTTAATAACTTGTCACCCAGTAGTTTAAAATAGTTAAAAACGCTAAAAATAGTTAAGAATTTACAGCACACACGTTTCGAATAATCACTTGTCATCACCAGGTGCAAAAATAACTAACACGCAAAAATTAGAGATGAAAGTTGGCCAGAGCCAAACCATTCTTTAAAAAAAAATGGTGACCGTAGCTGTTTGTTGATTTAAAGTATATTGTAGCTTCCTAAGATAGTTTCTTCAATTTGACGTTTAAATGTTGATTTCTTGATTTAAAATTGACCCTCCAGTAGTACAGCGGTAAGTCTGAAGGCTAATAACTTCGAAGCCCGAGATGGGTGTCATACTAGTTTAGACAACTCCTTAGGATTTTTATTCTGGTATATGTTTACCTTATTAATTTGAGCTCTTACTATCACAACAGGAACTGAAACGCCAATTTCAGGAGGTATGGTTTCCTTCTCCCCCTTCCCCCATGATACGACTTTTCTTTTTTTATTTCTTTTTATCAATTTTCCCCATATTTTCTTCTGAGAGCAGTAACCTTCTCATAACTGTCTGCAAACACTGAAGAGTGATACAGATATGGGACGATGTGGGCTGGAGCACCTACATCTTGTTTTCTTATATTCTTATGTTTTTTTTCTTATTTCATTCTCTTAGTATTATTATTTCTTTACTTGTGAGGCTTTGCGAACAGAGGTTAAGACTAATACACGGTGTATCCCCACTGCTATGTGGGTCCTATTTCCGCAGTTACCTCCAAAAGCTAAGAAACATCTTATATCCTGTGCCCTGGTGACTTTATTTTCTTGTGCAGCGTTTTTGATTAAAGCTTGTTTTGTATTATAGGTATGTTATATATATATATATATATATATACTGTTATCAGATATTAAATAATGTTAGTGTTTTCTTCACATTCGTGTTTTATGTTTGTTCTTATGCATATGATTTCATATAAATAATTCAATTCCATATAGTATTTTTTGTTCTCGTTTTTGTTCTTTTTTTGCTATTTCGTTACTTTCTTTTAAAGATCATGTGATAAGAACAGCAAATACATAAATTCCAGAATATGTTTTCGTTTAAAAACAACTTTATTTCTGATTTAAGAATCAGTACAAACAGAAATTAAAAATGGCTTACATGTAAAATATTTGATCTGGATCGAAAAGTACACATAAAGCTTTGCAATTTATTATCTAGTTAAGCCTAACCAACTATTTACTCCTAATGTTCGATGCTATTAGTTTACATTTCCATACAGGAATATTTTATTTGTATTTACTCTTATAAGAGCACATATGTAGCTAATGCCCAATGTTTATTACGAAAATATGTAGTTCAATAAGGTGCAACAGTGCATATGGTAATATCTATATCTTTAGAGCATCTCAAGTGGTTGACACAGATCAGGCAATGCTTAGTAAAAATAAAAGGTTAAATAATGTATAATAGTGCATATGACAGTATATATATATATAGAGAGAGAGAGAAAGAGAGAGTTAAGTGGTTTATATATATTAAGTAATGCTTAATATAAATGGTTAAATAATGTACAACAGTACATATTACAATATATATATATATATCTACATCTATAGAGCATGCTAAATGAATGATGTACGGTCATATATTACCTAATGTTGTTTGTGACATGATCCGTAACAATTATAACATCCTCAGGTAATATATAATAATTGTTATGACATGATCAGGTAATTTACATACTCCATGTCACAGTATATGAACGGTGGAGGTCTATAAAGATCCATGAAAATGAGGCCAGGTCATGAGAATGTATGATGAGATGTGTGTTCATTATAAGATATTAGTAAACTGTCTGGGAAAACTCAAGGAAAGCACCATCTACTCAAACACAACTTCGAAACTTGTTTACAACAACTATTTACATGTTCTTGTCAATTTTCTGGTAAATCAGTGTACACAATCATGAAATCTCCAAAACTCCCTTGATCCCCATCTTGTGTCTTACAGTGTCAAACATACGAAAATCTAAACGTAGATACTCATTTCGAACAATTCCCGACATAGATATGTTATTTTATGCAAATTCGTGAGACCCGAAATTTGAATCCAATTATGAAGACTGATCTTTTGAAACTTTCAGAGTTTAAGTATATAGTATTGCTTTGTAAGGCTCATATCATGTTAATACCAGTTTTCAAGTAAACGGATTTTTTAAAACTTGAGAGCACCAACAATCTTTATTGGGGTCTCATTCATGGCTCTTTAAAAAGAAAAACAAACAAGCATATGTACGTTTACATTATGTGGATGGAGGGAGCCTACATATGATGTATCAAGTTATTTGGTCAAGTATTCTATGAAGAGTTCCAAAATCAAATAATCGTAGATACATAAGTACAATTAAGAAATAGTAAGTGTTTATATTATAGGTCTCATATAACTAAATACCCACATCATTAATTGTAAGGTATGGTTTAAAGAAAGCAATGACGTGAGAAAAAACACCATCAAAAAGTGTTGAAACAATAGTAATATAAGAAAAATTATAAATGAACTTCTAAATTTTATTTCACCCTTTTGGTTGCAGACCAATAGCATTATAATGTGCATCTGAGGTAAAACTAAGAGGAGCAAAAATCTCTGACTATCTTGTAAGATGAATAAAATAACTAAGATTCCTATGCTTTCTCATCTTTTGTTAATCATCGCTGATCAAATGTTACGTGTACTTCATTCTGTGTGTATTATGTAACGTGACATTTATCTGGTTCTGCACCGTAAACCCAATTTCTTGACCGACAACTAATTAAATAGGTTTGTGTCAATTTTTTGATTATTAGATACCACGGTCTTCTGTGAGATAAACTTCCAAAGAGTAACTCATTATATTATTAGGATTTTCATCAGAGAGATTTTAAATTCTAAATTTTCAGGGACCGTCGTTTTTCATAAACAGTTGTTGTTTTTTATCCAAAAGAAATTACCAATGACCATACGTTTTTCTACGGAAGTTTGAAGACAAAGAATTTTTGTACTTTTTGTCAAACGAGAAATATTTGTATTCATAGATTTCTAAAAAAAAATTGAAGCAGAAGGGTTTTCATTCGTATTGGGTCTAATGCCCGAACGTATATTTGAGAAAACATAATATATAATAGTATCAAAGCCAGTGGAGTCCTTAAAGAAAGTAAAAAGAGAGTTTTTTTATAAATTCCACAGAAAAGTCAGTCACAACAAATAGAATAAATGTTTTGAAATGTTTTAAGTAGCCCACTATATCATTTACATATTTAGAAATTTTTAAGACCGAATGTAAAACTATTAAAACTGTGATATTTTGGTCTCAAACAAGCTCTGTCTATTGCAAAAAAAATATGGGCAGAATATTCTTCACGAAATAATTTAATAGTTAAGTTAATAAAAGTGAATTAGTATTGTATCTAGAGTCAAATACGATAATACAGTTACTGAATCATTTACAATAATTAATCCTAAAATATTTCAATTTGAAAACGTTTCTAAGCAAAATCTGGGTATAGTTATTTTAACTGACTTTGGAATCAGACAAAATGTATTCCAGAGTAAAACATTTAATTACATTGTCATGTTTTCTAATTATTTTGTAAAGCGATACATATAAAAGACGCTGGCAAAGCATAATGCTTTCTTTGAAATGTTCCAGCCCGATGTGGCTTTGCGATAAGAAAACAGGCATACTGTTTTGAAATAAAATGTTTATATAGATGGGGCACACTGCTCAATGAAACAAGTCAGCATTTGATAAAACAGTTTTTGTTTTTTATCGTAACAATAAACTTGGATCAGTTTGAAGATTAATATAATGTTTCTATATCAACATTTGTCATTTAAAATGTGTTAACATCGAGAGTTTTCGTACGTTTTTAAGATACACTTACACTGATACTTATAATTACGAAATTATTACTGTATTTAACCATTTGTTTTATGTTGTTGTTTTCGCTTTTTATCTCCGACAAAATACTGTTTTCGTTTTCTTTTACCCACCTTTGAATCTAAAGAATTTAGACGAAGCTCTATAAAGGAAAATGTGAAGGTAACTTTCTGACAATCTAACTTGGAATAGAACTAAAATTGTCATTCTGAACGTCACTCTGTATATTTATAGATTAAATTTCCAGGTCAGAGATCCCAATAATTCAGGCATAGATGTCCATTAATTTGAACAACAGAGCTGAGGGAAAGAGGCCAGCCAGCAGTACCCGCCTTCCCACAAAGTCTTTGTCAGGCTTTTTTGAGCCGGATAACGGTGCTGGTTGTCACTCTTATAGCGCGCCCACAACTGAAAATGGAGAGCATGATTAGCGATAAGAAGTCTTGAATCCCAGACTTTACGTTACCTAGCCCAAAACCCTAACTCAAGGCCACGCTAAGCCCTATGTCATTTGGAACTTTAACAACATGGATGTACAAATGTTAGTTATCAGACAGTAAATATCGACATTTGACACATCCCATTGGTTTTAAAGTGAATATATATAAATCATGACTGCTATATTAGGTGCACAGCATACTCTAAAACTTTCTAAAGATTCAGCAAAGGCATCTGGGACTTAACCTTTAAATATTCTACTCTTTTCGCACAAATAATAAATGAAGTCTAGGTATTTTCTAAGGCAGATGATTGAATTAGAGAAGTGAAAGTGGAATCTGATCTTTTTTTTGTGGCAGTTATTGAAAAGTTCTAAGTTGAAGAAAATGGTTAATGTTTGAAATAGAATAATGCTTTGAAACTCAATGGCTCTTGAAATTAAAATATATTTGAAGAAAACTGACATTTAAATCACATGACAATTTCTAACATTTAAAAATTCAAAAGATTAAAGAAATGTCAATCATTTTCATTACTTATTCTACATTTACAATTTATAATTGTAAGTAAAGATAATAAACTACGTAAACGACAAAAATTCAATTCACAGTTAAGTTATCATTAAACTACTTATTTCAAATGAGCAGAAAAACAAACAAACAACAACACAAGTTTGAATTGTTATTCAAGAATACTATTCCGAAATAATTATTGCTCTGAAAAGCGTGGTAAAATTAAAATTGATTGAAAATTAATAATGTTTTATTGTACTCTGAAGTACCAGATAAATCCGTATAAAAAATGGTTTTCTGCAGTAAGCAGAAGGATTTCACAAGTAGAGGAACACTATCATTTCCGAACCGTCATTAAACTCAATTATCAATGATTTTCATAAACGTTAATTCTGTCCATGCCAAGTTTGATCGTTTTAACACAAGAAAGATTTTGTCCAATCATACAGTATCACATTATGAAAGACTTCAGCTTTGTACTTCGTACACTTCGTAAGCCAGCATATGGCCAAGTTAGATAATGATACCTTTTCTAACACTCCAAAATATTGATTCTTTAAGCTTTATTTTGCATATAATTTATATAAATATGTTGTTTTTTGTTATTGTTTTTACTGCTTAATAATATTTTAAAATTTGTCGCTCTTTTCTTCATCCACAAGCAAGACCTGGGTTTCAGGAATACTGTTGAGACGAGTCGGAGTCAAACTTCTGCTATGGTCACTCTGAGTGGTGGCGCCACTTTCCTCTGCTGGTGACATTGGCGATCTTTGTATTGGAAGTGATGCGAAGTCTGTTGACTGATCCCCAGGAGAAGTGGTGTTGGTGGAAGTTGCCGTCATGGTGTATAAGGAATCTTTGGAGACACTTGCTATCTTGGGACGTTTGATTAGTGTAGCCTGTTGCTCTGAAACGAATACCTTCACAAAACAGAGCAGGGCGCCGAATCCAATGAACACCAGGCCTATCGTCTGGGCTGTGCTTACTCCAGCACCTACTCCTAGAAAAACAAGGACCAGTCCTGCCACTAGCAGGACGGTTCCTAGGTATATAAGTAATCTCAGTTTTTGTTCGTCCATTTTAAATACATTAGCTCGTGATTTTCGGTACCTCACGTCGAGATGATTTTCTGCCAAACTGGATATAGTACTGATGCTTTGTGTACGAGAACGCTTTGCAAATCCACGTCCTCGAGACAATGATGCAATGCTGTCATGTGAGCTAATAGTTTTCTCTTTTTTCCTTTCTCGCCGGAGGGCAACAGCTGGCATAGCAGAAATCATCTTGAATGCTTACTAATTTAAAAGAGAGAGAGAGAGAATAAAAAACATAATTGACTGTGTTAGATATAAAGAAGAGTTTCTAAAACTTTTGAAAAACTAAAATCCATTATTGAATTATAATGCCGAAGTGTTAATGTAAAATCATATTTTATTCAAGCAAAATATACTTGATGATTTGTTAAAGTACTCCAATTACTGAGTAATTAACTGATCAAAAAAATGGAAAACATGTATGGTTAAAAAGTATACCTATAGCGAATAAGACAAGCCGAACGTGAAAAAAACAAATAAATGAAAAGTTAAACTTCACTTTCTGAGAATATTTAATAAAAGAGCAAAAACTAAGTTTGAGTAAAAAATACATAAAAGACACTCAAAAAAAAGATGAACAGCAGCATCAATTGATGAACCAAGAAACTTATTAACTTTTATTCTCAAACTAAAAAACTTGGAAAAAAGAACAAATTTCGTGGATGAGTGAAATTCTTAAAATTCTTTCCTGGAATACTCTAGGCATCTTGACGAATATATAAATAAATATGTATACAAACTGTTAGACTAGATTATCAGAATGACATAATAGATAAGCGTTTAATAATGTATTATGATACTAAAATTTCCAAAACCTGTATGTCTTAGCTTTTATTCGTCTCTAAGCTTTTTTATTACCCTATAGCTATCTAGTGCTAGATATTTACGTGATTATATTTAACTGAAAGACATTTGCTTTCCTTGGAAGATAGAAAAACACCATTAAAATATTTTAAAACAAGCTTCTGCTTGTAGAAAAAATGGTTAGGGCGCTCGACTCGCAATCCGAGAATCACAGGTTCAAATCACCGTTTCAAGAAACCTGATGGCCCTTTGAGCCGTGGGGACGTTATAATGTGACTGTCAATCCCACTATTCGTTGGGAAAAAGAGTAGCTCAAGAGTTGGTGGTGATGACTAGCTTCCTTCTCTCTCTAGTCTTTTACTGCTAAATTAGGGACGACTAGCGCAGATACCCTCGTGTAGCTTTGCGCGAAATTCAAAACAAACAAACAAAGAAACAATCTGGAAAAAAATGGCATATAGTTGGGTCTGAAATCACGTAAAAGAAAACATTTATTCTCTGTTTACACAATACTCTAAAAGTCAAACTTACTGATACAATAGATTGTACATACATCGTTGGTAATTTTGTGACTGTTATAGCTATAAACTTTTGCCTACGGAACTTTCCCAAGCATACCGCAGGGGTCTGAAAACATGAATTACTTTCAATAACTTATTGAGCATATAAATTGGCACATTCAAGAGGAAAAATATTCAACTCTTTTCTAGGACATTATTAGTATAATACAGCACGAAACGTAACTTAAGTGGCAGTTGATGAAACTAAATGTAATAAAATATAATAAATATTATTACAGTGATATAATTCAGTTAAAAGTAACAAAACTACCTATATGTTGTTCATGGGCCGAAAAATAGTGGAAGAAGCAGAAAATATTTATAATGATGTAGTTATTTTGTTGATTTTTAAATACAAATTACTCAAAACTATCTATCTATTAATTTGATTTTTAATTTTGTACTTCGGTTTAATGGAAAACTAACCAGAGCCATATTTTAATTATTTAGTAAAAATGAAAAGCATGGCCAACATTTAAATTTTCATTATATTAAAATGCAAAATTAAATAATTTTTTTAACTACAATTTTTTTCGCATATCAACGTAAAGAACTACTGTGATTTTTGCATTTTTGGTCAAATGTATCTTGAAGTGTAATGATAGGAGATACCTTTATACGTCACTATCCTAGTAAAACTTAACGTATTTGACATGAATAATTGTTTCCGTTCTGCGAAGCTTACTCTCGTCTAGGTTCAGGTTATTATCCGATAAAATGTCTCTAAGCTGCTCTTGCTGAAACACAGATCATGGATGTGGTCTAGCCTCAGAAATTAATCCCTACAGATGGTTATGGAGATGTTATGTAGGTTAAAATCTTCACTTTCGTGGGGTAATTCCCAAAGATTGTTGCTGTTATTTTAAAGTAACCATAAATCAATCTCTTAGTAACATAGTGTCTTAATATAATTCAACAAAGCGCTCTTCCACGACCCCTGTAACATGATTATTTCATATCTCTTGATATCATCACAGACGGTACTTGTTCACATATGGTTATAATGGACTGAGTATAGTTACTGTGAATTTCATTATTGTTGCAGAATTCAACGTTATGAGCATCTGTCATGCTTCTTCAATATTTCCCCCGTGACATAAAAGATTTTAGTTTTTCTACTATCCAGCCCTGGAATCTGTTGGTGGTCTAATAAAAAACAAATTGCGTAAGACTGAGCATTGCGAAAGTTCCAAATATCTATTTTTCATAATTTCAGAGGATTGTTATTTACCTTTTTTAAATTCATGAAGTTTACAATATTTCGGCATTTTTATATAATTTAACGCTTTTAATTTATTTGACGTGTTTTTTGGTGGACTTTACCATGTGTTTAAAGTGTATCCAGATACTTTTAGCAGAATAATGTATACGTATGTATCATGTGTTTATATAAATAAATAATTTGTACTTCAACTTTGTCTTACAGGGAAATCAAAACCAGGTGTCCTAGCGATAAGCCACTAATAGTCCAATTACGGTAACACATACCCTCTTTTCGAACTCAGGGTTGGGGTAATGAAAATATTCACTTCTCGTACAAATATACAAATGCATGTCGGGTTGAAATGACAAATATTTGTACTCCGGCTAATATGAGCACTGAATTGAGATCTACTTATCATAATTCAGCCTATTAATTTGGTATACAGCTAAAAAATGTCATGATGTTATGCCTTTTTCCTGTATATCTTAATTCCTCTTTTTACAGCTCGTCGCATTTGCCCGAAAATTAAAACTTTAGTTTTCAACTGTCCTAAAGTGGGTTTTAACAAAAGCTTTCGTGTATAATGCACTCCTAAAAGTTCTAATACCGTTTAGAGTGGATGAATGATTTCACAACTCAAGTATAATATAATATACATGCAACTTTCATTCCATAATTACCGTTTATTTCAAAGTAACTAGCTGGACTTCAAAAATGCTTGTTACAACATTAACGTTTAGTTGAATGAGGGACCAGAAAGTGTAAAGTTGATTGCCACTCAAATATCTATTTAACTATATATATATGTATCTAATTACCTGAAATACCAAAGTAAATATAGATATAAGAAAACAAAAGCTACTTCTAAGATAAAACAAACACTTGAGAGCTATTTGTTTTTTTAGAATTTTAGTCTATATTATTCCTAAGATATAGCTAAAAGCAACCTAGCTTAGCTTTCAATATTTTGTTCAGTTTATATGAACTAGAATTATATTTCTCGATTGAGCTGGATGTTAGTTATCGGAAGTGTATCGATGTCACTTTGCTTGTCTTATTTCTGGAAAGGTATTCAATATGTATCTATTCCTGCCTTCTTGAGAGAAACTTTAAGAGTGACCTTCTATGTTTCATATTTTTGTAGTGAGTTTCTACTGCACTTTGGAAAAAGAAATCTCACATTAGAACATTATGTTAACACGAAACATGTTTCTACAAAATAACATAGAAAGGCCAAGAGTCCTCTGCTTGTTTTTTGTTTTTTTAATATTATAATAATATTAAACGACTAAGCTTGAGATATTATCAAAAGTAACAAAGCAATGATAAAAAAAATCACAATGAATTTAATCAAGAATAATAATAGTCAGCATTACCAAACTATCTGATAAATGTTTTGCAGGTTTGGAAAAATGTCTAATGTTGAATTATATCTCTTCAATATTTTAAAGCAAAATATAATACTGTAATTAAAGAGAACTGTCATCAGTTAGTTTGTGAAACTCTGAAAATATAGATTCCCATATATATTCTAGTGTTGTATGTGACCCTAAATTTGAACTGCCTAGTCAAATACGTGGTTTTAGATGAAGTCACTAATTGTAATTTTACAAATGTTATTCTGTTACAACAAAAGTAGAGTTGTTTGCTACTGAAACTTTCATGTTCAACGGCACCTTAATGTGCACAAGTAAAGAAAAAACTTTAAAAAAGAAGTAAATATAGGGATGGCTAATATCAGTCTTTCAAAAACAATGCAAACAAGATAGTAGGGACGGGCATTTTGCTTCATCCCTACATAATAGCACAGGCACACAGTATAGTAGAATGTTAACAGAAGAAATAGGATAAACTAAACTGAAATGTGATTGAATAGTTATATATATTGCTGTATGTTAATTATTGCCTGGGATATTATTTGTTTGTGTGTTTTTTGTTCAATTTAGCCATTTTTAATTTTGAAGTGACATAATTATTGCCTGGGATATTATTTGTTTGTGAGTTTTTTGTTCAATTTGGCCATTTTTAATTTTGAAGTGACATACTAAAGGAATGCAGCTAGTAAACAACACCCATCGTTAACTCTTGGGCTACTCTTTACCAACGAAAAGTGGAATTGACCGTCGCATTTTAATGTCCCCAAGGCTGGAAGGGCGAACATGTTCGGTGAGGGAAGTCGAATCGAGTGCCCTACCCACCAGGTTTATTTGAATTTAACCAGAGACAAATAATTTCTCATTCACGACAAAATAAAAGGAGTATTGGATTTCTAAGGATAAAGCAAACAAAATACTAAAGGTAAGGATTCGGTCGTATCAGTAATGATTCAAAGTTCTATTTTCCATTAAATTTAATGATTTTTATAACTGAATATGCTAAATTAACATCACGAAGTCTGAGTATATTATTAAAATACAAATATGCGTGATATGTAAAACTTTTTTCTTTCTTCGACAGACAGACTTACGTTCTAACGTGTCAATAAGAATCTGCTATAAATATTAAATAATCATTCGAGAAATTATATTTTGAATACAGCGGTACAAGAGCTACCTAATATACATATATTATTCATTATACAGTGCATAATGATTGTGTATTTTCATTATAGTTACAGGAACTAACTTCAAAAC